ATTATTGCTAACCCATTGTAAGGCTAAGCTCACTCCCTAACGCCTAGTGTAGATAATATTGCTTATTCCAAAAAAAAAAATTCCAATATGTATTTGTTTGATAAAATTAATAATCAAATTAATTGACATGACAGATTACATCTCAACTATTAAAAGTGAGTTAATCTAATGGTCTAAGGTTTGTGATAAATGTTGTGTTAAAAATTTGGTGCGACGGATCCGCCCCCATAGTTATATTGTTAAATATTATTTAAACTTGTTTAACTTTCATAATTTGTGGGAACTCATATTCCTCTCGACCAAATCACTCTACCACTAACATGTCTGCCGAAGAGCGCTCGATTAATACCGTTAGTCGGGACAACCCACTGTCTGATGTATCCGTTGTTCTAAGAATGGATAACATGCTGCCTAACATCCCCTCCTCCCAGAGCAAGTAATGACCCACATAGAGTCGCAGCTGCACCTGGTAACAACAAGGATCAGATCAACACATCCCCACCTTCTATGGACCAGATTTGGAAGACCTTGATGAAGATCAACACCTTTGTCGACAAGTTGCAGAACCAAGTGGCCTTAAGCTGAAAGCCACGTAAATTTCGTGGATATCAAATAACACATGAAAAACCTAGAGAATTCAAGCGGGACTACCCCCAAGCTTATATTCCTATTTTCAGGTACAGGAACATAATTATCATAACCCTTGAAGGAGAACCTATAGTATCACCCGTTGTTCCAACTTTAGAAAACATCACTAGTCCAAGTAGGGGTCCCTTGCATGACGAACATGTCACTAATGTGGCTTCTGCAAGCAAGCTTTGAGCCCCGCCCCATAGCTTGAGGGTCGACTAGCCTGTATCCTCTGAAAACCATGAGCGACGATGTGCCCTGGACAGGAAAACCCCCAAGGGCTTAGTAAACGACCACCCTTGCATCCCTAGTAGGCCAGTAGTCTGGATCAAAAGCCCACTTTTAATGGTGATCAAAACCATGCCCCCACCAAAAAAGTTCTTCTAGCCACAATTCAAGTCATTTTGTGGTGATTTTAACCCGAACTACCATATTATACACTATCGAAATGCCTATGGCTTTGTACAACAACAATAACAATGCTTGAACCTTCGAGGGACCATCAATGAGGTGGTACTCAGAGTTGTTAGCTAGGTCTGTTGATTGCTTTGAATGTCTGACTAACATCTTCACCAACACTTATCTAGTGTACCGCATTGTGCGTAAACGCCATGAGCACATATGTAGAATGGCTCCTCAATCCAAAGATGAAAGCCTCATAACCTATCTGAAGCACTTCCGTGTGGAGCTGGTAAAAGTAGAGGAGCTAGATGATAAATTGCCCACAATGGCGTTCAAGCAGGTCATTGAAGTCCATTTGCCCCTCTCTAGAAGCTGAACAAAATGAAGTATGACTACGCCTCTCTGGCTGAGTGTTCAATATCGTAGATGATCTCATGAATTGGGACGACAAAATTATTAGGATAACCGCTAAACCAAACTATGCTAAGAAGATTGATAAAATAATGAACAACAAGGACATTCTTCCTCTTTCCCCAAATCAAACTGGCAATGAAGGTCGTTGAGACAAATAAGCCCCGCCCAAGCCAAACCAGTTCACTACTCTGAACACCACCATCAACAACATCCTCCATAACATAAAAGACAAACCATGCCTCGAGCGCCTAAAGGCATTCCCAGAGCATCTGGCGAAGAAGAACCGAATGACTATTACTCATTCCACAAAAACATCGACCACGCTACTAGGAACTACCACATGTTGAAGGATCATATTGAAGAACTTCTAGATCAAGGACATTCCTAGGAGTTCGTAAGGGACAAAGCAAGGAAAAAAGGCACGGTCAAACCTAAAGATAGGGATAAGTCAGACAAGCATACCAACGATGAAAATCAATGCCCGACAAAAAAGCCCACTCTTAACATAAACTGCATCTACAAAGGACATGGAACCCTGAAAGGTGAAAAGATGAAAGAACAGACCACGAGAAATCCAATACCCATCACTATGAGATCAACCCCTCTTGTTGACACCTTCAGATCAAATAAAGAAGGGTACACTCCGAATTACACATGATTTGATTCCTTTCCCAGGATATGTAGGTTGTCTATTCCAGACTCAACCACAACACTGCCATGTACGCGAAGACAAGTCCATGGACAACTCATCTCCCAATGCCCCACCATAGACTTATTGTTAAACGTGATCCCTGATATAATTCCTTCATTATATCATTATTTTTCTTAAAACAACGTCGATGATTTGATTCTCCTTCACAGAGATATGTAGGCAATCCTTCCCAGATTCAATAGCAACCCTTGTCAATATATCCTTTTTCCTTCATCAATAAAGATATTATGGCGACATTCCATAATTTAGTGGTCGGAGTTCCTTAAGAGATTGTCTCCTTAAAGTTGCAGGGCTCGGCTCTCACTTTCAAACCATATTCATGTTTTTCATAGCATAGTAGCGGGTTATTGCCTGATCACCTTTAATCTGCTTTACTCTGTTACATGCAGGATATTAAAGTAGCTAATGGTATGATGATGGAATTTCTCTTGTCTTGTAAGCCAATTTTGGCCCAAGATGGCCTTATACAGAGTCAGATAGTTCATGGCATAGAAGTATACTAGAATGTTATAGGTTTCGCCTCAACAGCCAGCTTACCTGTCCCGACTATCGGACTTAAGTACCCTCGAACGTATGTAGAGTACTTTTACTCTAATTGATACAATCTAGAATTTTCATCCTCTTCGCTGCTTTTTCAAAGATAATGTTAACTCCTTATCCATTATATATCAACATTTAGTTAACCATCACATTCGAGATCTAAATCTTTATCACCAGAGTGTCATCATGATAGTTCATGATTGGAGAACATCAAAGATATTGGAATAAATCAAGGGTGGTTTGTTGTGCCATTTTGCATGCTACATTCCTTTCTTTTCTGGTGTTGCCTAGATGCTTCTGCTATCCATAAATGCAGTTGATATTAAGGGTTGGCTTCTTAGCTCGTTGCTGATCTTCCTCGTTAGTGAATTTATAGTTATCCACATTACCCCTGTCATTCCTTTAAGTAGGATCCTTCTTTTAGGCCTTTTGTTTCACGAACTCCCAGTAATATCCCTAATCAAGCATCTCCTTGATGTGATCGCGGAGCATTTAGGAATTCCGGGTAGTGTGCTCAATGAATTGGTGGAAAGACCAATATTCATTGGGCTTTAAATGACCAAATGATTACTAAGAGGTTTGGGCATCTTAAGAAAAGGCTTGTCCTTGATGCTATAAAGGATGTTGTGAACTGTGGTATTCAAAGCGATGTATTTATGTGGCTGAGATGAAGTTGACTTGTCCTTGCTTCATCTTTCACTTGGACCTCCTATCTTAATTTTAGCCGGAATTCTTCTTCTGTGCTCTGTCATCTTAGCCGAAAATGTCATCGACTTTTTGCCAAAGAGGAATAATTATATTTCTTCTTGCTTTACTTATGGGATAGAGGTGAATGGCGAAAACCTTGCTGATTTTAGGGAGAACTCTACTAGGGAGTTGATTTCGAGCGTCACTCGATGCATCCTTAAGGTTATTACAGTTCAATGGTCTACACCACTCTTGGTCTTCAAATGACTTTGGATCGAGATTCTTAATTTCCACAAGGAAGGCTGTTGTAGTATCCAAGGGATTAAGATTGCATTGAACCTAAATCCCGTTGCAGAGGTATGACTTGCAGTCTAACATCGTGTTGTTCCGCGTGCAAGTTTAGATCACCAGTTTCTGTTGGGGTCGAAACAGGCATCATCATAATAGGCTGTCTGTCTGGGGTTATGGTACTCAGGTTACAAAGTTCGAAGACATGGACTTGGGTTTGCAAAGTGACTATGCGAGTACTAACTAGGGTTTTCATGTGCCTTGCTTAGTTAACAAAGTTTGAATGGTTCTTAGTGTAAGAAACCTTCGAAGTCTTCTAAAGATCACTGATAAAGGCATTGATCTTCATCAGAGTCTCCCATATTTGGTCAATTGTCGGGGGAACTCTGCCTTCAGGACGTTGTTGCTTGTCGGAGCCCAGATGTGTCAGAGGATTGGTTGTTTCCACCATTCGTGTTGGCATCAGCACCTTAGAACTGTCTTTAGTAGAAATGCTGATTTAGTAGAGTGATTTGGTCAGGAAAATATGAGTTCAGCTCTCAATGAAAATACTAATTGTTGGAATCAAATTCGCACACCACCACAAATGGAAGAGCTACACAAGTCAAGCTAGCTGTAAGAAAACAACCGTGAATTCTCCTAAGGTACAATGTGGTACCAGCCAAAGGCTCTTCAACGGTCAAGGTAGTAAGCAATATTAAGTCTCAAGTAGTGGGCATACAATAAGCAAAGAGTGTGCAAAAGTGAATTGCATGACCAGAGTTATGCCCTAGATGAAGGTATTTATAAACATCAGGTAAGAGACTTTTTAGGATATTGAATCTGTATTGAACTGGGAGAATCCAAGAGGATATTTAGGATTAGATATTATTTTCTCTTAGGAGTGCAATTCAATCGAAGTTGTTGAGTCCATGAATGGACTTCTAAAGTACGCATAATTCGATGCGTCTTACTCTGATCCTCAAAATCATTGTCCCTCATCCCATTAATGACCAAGATATACTTTCCAAAAACATTAGGAGGAAAAGGAGAATAAAATAAAGGTTTGAAGAAATTAGACGGAAATTATTTTTGCACTTTTTTTTGTTCCTTATTACTTTATTTATTTATTTTATTTATTTAGCCTTTCAATTCAATAAGGGAATAATTAAGACATGAAAGCAAAGGATGAGTGGATAAGCAAAAAACAGGAGTGCAAAAATCATTTTTCAAAACTTAATCCTGCTCACAGATTTAAACCCACCGTTTATTTTCAGAACCAGTTCTAGAGAATTCCATTGCATGTATAAAAGGACCCGAAGATGGAGTTTGTTAGAGCACAATTTCACTAAAAAAAATGCTGATTTTAAAGGTCAATGAAGGGCAAGATGAAACCGTAGATGCTTCTGGTTCTCAATTTTTTGGGCATATAAATTTCAAAATCGCATCGATGATTTACCAGAGGTACATGTACATTTTTAATAATAAAAATATTACTATCACTGTTACTTGTTTTTTTTTTTTTTAAATTTATGGATTAGAATTTTAATAGTATGCATTGTAGTGATATTTACTTTGTTTTCTACAATTGCTTTCAACAATTTTATTTTTTCTGTTGAACGGGTTTATATTTTTGCTTCATGTGGGAGAAATGAAGAAAAATGTATGAATTGAAAACGTAGGACTTGTTTGATGTCCATTTTGTTTTTTGTTTTTCATTTTTGCGGTAGAATCAAAGGGGAAATACAATAAAGAATTTGGGTGTGTTGGAAGTGGTAGTGGTGGTGATGAGGTTGTAGGGCGATGGGGGTTGTGGTGGTGATGGTGGTGAAGGTGAAATTACAGGTGATGAAAGATGGAGGGTGGAGGTGAAAGTGGTGCAGCTGGTTTGAAGGTGTTAAGTTTCTTCTAATAAGGGGCATTAGAGATGGATATTGATGTCGTTTTCAAAAAGTTAATGACATTATTACATGTGACAACTCGTCCTTAGTTCTACGATTTTTAAAACTTTTAAAAATGTGGATTGACGAAAATGCCCTAGAGGCAAGATTATTGACTTTCGTTGACCAACGTATAGTGAGACGTACAAAATATTCTTTTAGCGTATTCTTGAAGTACTCAACGGTGCGAACACAAAGACACAGAGGAGAAGGGATTGGGCAAAGCTGCCTAATTGGAGAAGGAGAGAGGGAGGTGAGGAATGAATCAGGAAGGAGAGAAAAGGGGAAGGCCAATAAGAAGGAAAAGAAAAGAGAGAAAGGGAGAGATACAGAGCACCCAACCTGGACCCCTGCAATCCATGACCTAGCCTTCGACCCGAACCTCCCCGAGTTTTTTTCCGACACCATTTCTAGCGTTTCTTCGACGATTCACGACATGGGACCACTTGGAAACAACTTAGCATTAATCTGTCCTCCATATTCACCCAAAAATTGAAGACATTAGTCTCGATTTCGTGAGAACTGCACTGATGGGTGCGAGGGAACTTTGATGGCGATCCACCATTTCTGAAGCGTTTCTCTTCAATTATCATCACCAAAACACTCCTCAAGAGGTCAGGAACAAAGCCCAGTCAATGGTTAGAGTGTTGGAGTTGATTTGAGGACGAATCAAGAACACCAAAATTATAGGATTCCAGGGGGTTCATGGTGATTTGAAGCTTTTTCAGGCCAAATTGAACTTGGCCACAAATATGAAACTTGCTCCACTAATTGAGATCTACATTTTTGTGAAATTCGGTAATTTTTAGAAATAGTGGAATTTTTCAATGCGTTGGGGCGGTCGACCGCCACGTCTGGCGGTGCGTGGGCCGAGGTACCCCCTAACCTTCCTAGGCTAAATTTGATACCCAAAATCCCTATGTGAAGTCCGATTGATGAAATCTCATCATTTGAACATAGCTTTGATAAAGACCGCCACTTGATCCTTATATGAATCGACGATCCGACATTTGGATCGTCACCAAACCTTAATACGTTATAATACATAATATTTGAGGACCATAGGAACTGAAGGATTGGGAATCCGATGTACGGATCTTCCCAAATTGGATTTTTAAGTTTGTAAAATAAAACGTTGACTGCCACTTGAATTTGCAATTGGCAGAGATCCAACCGTTGGATCATAATGAAACTTTAGTATGATGTTCTAGAAGAATAACGTGGATCTTTGGAAGTTACAGATTGGAAATCCAAGGTATTGATCTTACAGATTGAGTTACGTAGGGTTGTGAACCATACCATCTACCTTTGACCGACCGTTGATTTTTGGTCAATGGGTTTCAATTCATTTTAGAACGTCCTTGGGAATGTGTTTTATGTAAGTTACGTGTTCTATCAATAATAATTCTGAGAAGTGATTTGATAATTGTTCTAGATGCCGATCGTTCGAGATGCCTCGATATTCATGCTAGGGAGTTATAGCGCGGACTCCAAGTGAGTAGATCTTTTCCTTTTTATAGTATGTGTGTGTGTGTGTGTGTGTACAAGTTCTTTTGAATTGATTTATGCATATCATGCCATGATTAAATAATGTTATAAGAAATGTTGCACCGTTGTGAGATGCTAAAATAATCCTACGGGATGCGCAGGTATGTTTATTATGCCAATTGCAATTATTGAATCATTATGGCATGCATATATTCATGTAGTGCTCATCATTTATGTACACCGGTGTTAGTGCTCCCGCCCCAGGCCAGGACCAGCCTTCATGATCGTTCATCTCCTGCACCGGGCCAGTCTTCACGCTAATGATGCGGTGAGTTCGGATTTTTCTTTTACTTTGCTACCTTTTCTGATTATCTTATCCATCTGACCTTGGGAGTGGCGTTACATCTGGATTGCCCTCTTCCTCCAAATTCACAGCATTTTAGAGCTATGAGAAGGCATTGCATAATCGACACCTAACCTAACCTAAGCAAAAAGCTACATCTTCACTACTACTTAGGACACAATATTTGTACAAATCTACAATACCATGTTGCATTGCATTCAATCCAGCGTGAAATGAATGGATTGAGATTTAAAGAAACATATATTACACCTTCATCCATCCACTTAATACCCACGTTGCACTTAAAGGAACGGAGTATTGCAGCCACACCCCAAGATTTTGACTATTCTTCAATTTAATTGTGACAATCCATGTTAAGGATAAACTCATGCATCTACATAGGCCTATCATACGATGCTATTCTACACAAGTATCCAATTTAATTGTAAACGATATTAAATAATAAGGCAATGCAACAAATGACCACATTATGAATAACGCAACAGCTTACAAAAGACATGTACAAAAGAAAGTTGAACACATAACCTCGGGTGCAAGCTATACGCTTTTTAACACTTTAGCTACAAAGGTTTAAGAGCAACATTCTTTTCTTGCTTCGACACATAAATGTTTATTCAAACGGACACATTATAGTATCACATACTACCTAAATTGGACGCCAAAAGCAGCAAAAGTATATCTTAATCTCTACAGGTTTTGGTTTTGGTTTTGGTAGTAATTGGTAAACAATTACCTGAATTCCACCACAAGATATAATTTTCGCGGTTGTTTAAGATGCTTTAATCCACATGGATTACCTTCTAATTGAAATATAAATCAATATCCCAAACATTGTATGACTAATCAAGATCCAAATTACCCTCCTAAAAGGAATTAGGAAATGGAACAAGCAAAATCTGCAATCAATCTGAAAAGCTTACTCGCTCACAAATGATTTAAGTGCATTTCAATCAGGACACGGAGAAAAATCTCATTCGAAAAGTTTACAAAAGAAATACCCAAAAGAGAAACACTAGGTAGGGGGGAGAGTGATACTAAAACTCCTTAAGGACCACTTCTTTTTGTTAAACCTACCATTAATGGAAATATTGTACAGGTATACAAGCGATTCAGCTTATGCCAATTCATTTGTTCAACAAATGCAACAAACCATCAAAGTTGCATCCAATTAGTAGTATGTACCTTCTGGTGGTTGGGCAAGCTTCCGGTTGTACGAGGCTGCCATTTCCTTCTTCAGCTGTATCAGTATGTTTTCCATGGTGAACTCCCGCTGCCAATTTGCCAGAATTCCAAACTTCTTTGCTTCAACCTGTTACCAATCACTCAACTCATTAAGCAACGGGAGTCAAACACACAACTCCTGAACAGTAAATTAGGAAATCAGAACGAGAAATTCTGAGAGAAGTTCGGTCAATCACTGCAACAAGATGGAATGTCTGACAGAGATTCAAGGAAACTAAGTGCAAATAATAATTTACATTTTAGTAATGAGCATGAACCTGAAAGTAGTAATTCAAGAGTGCTTTCATGACGAACTGCCTTCCAAATTCTTATGACATACAACCATATAAACCTAAAAGTCATGTTTAGTCTTTTGAAGGAGATTAAAGATATATGAATTTCCTCACCTTGTTTCATTGTGTATATTTTGGAGCAATAATTTATACTAATCTTTTGTTTATCCTCATATCGACCACACCTTTTTTATTTTCAATCATCAAATGTTAAATACAGGGAAAATAAACTTGTCCAACCTAATAACAGAAGCCCAAACAAGGTTTATGCTATAAAAAGAGTACTAATAACATTACAAGGATTCCACAAATGCCTTTATTCTGATCATTCTTTAACCAGGAGTAGATGGTAAGCCCGACATAATAATGGGAGCAAAGCAAAGCCCAGATAAGACACAATCAACAACAACAACAACAACAACAACAAAGCCTTTTCCCACTAAGTGGGGTCGGCTATATGAATCCTAGAACGCCATTGCGCTCGATTTTGTGTCATGTCCTCCGTTAGATCCAAGTACTCTAAGTCTTTTCTTAGAGTCTCTTCCAAAGTTTTCCTAGGTCTTCCTCTACCCCTTCGGCCCTGAACCTCTGTCCCGTAGTCACATCTTCGAACCGGAGCGTCAGACGGCCTTCTTTGCACATGTCCAAATCACCGGAGCCGATTTTCTCTCATCTTTCCTACAATTTCGGCTACTCCTACTTTACCTCGGATATCCTCATTCCCAATCTTATCCTTTCTCATGTGCCCACACATCCCACGAAGCATCCTCATCTCCGCTACACCCATTTTGTGTACGTGTTGATGCTTCACCACCCAACATTCTGTGCCATACAACATCGCTGGCCTTATTGCCGTCCTATAAAATTTTCCCTTGAGCTTCAGTGGCCTACGACGGTCACACAACACGCCGGATGCACTCTTTCCATCCAGCTCGTATTCTATGGTTGAGATCTCCATCTAATTCTCCGTTCTCTTGCAAGATAGATCCTAGGTAGCGAAAACGGTCGCTTTTTGTGATCTTCGCTAGATTGCTCCGGTCATTAGTGTGGATAAGTATATAAATGGATAGAGATAGGAAAGCAAACACAAGATGTACGTGGTTCACCCAGATTGGCTACGTCCACGGAATAGAAGAGTTCTCATTAATTGTGAAGGGTTTACACAAGTACATAGGTTCAAGCTCTCCTTTAGTGAGTACAAGTGAATGATTTAGTACAAATGACATTAGGAAATATTGTGGGAGAATGATCTCGTAATCACGAAACTTCTAAGTATCGGAGTGTGGTGTCGTCTTGACTTGCCTTATCTGTCTCATAGGTAGATGTGGCATCTTCTCTGGAAGTACTCTTCCTCCATCCAGGGGTGGTATCTTTAACTGGTGGAGATGCACAAGGTAATGTATCAATTTCACTTGAAGCTTACTTGTAGTTTCAGGCTTGGTCAAGCGCGATACAAACCATGTAGTAGGAGTCCCCCAAGTCGCCGAGCTAGGGGGTCTGCTGAAAGAGGTGACAGACAAGGTAAGCAATCAGAGCTCCGACTGATTGTTCACCTTCTCCCCATCTTGCAGCAGCATGAAGGATAAAGAGAAGAAAAATGAGAAGAGATGATATGAGATACTTTTGCTTTTGAAGAAGTAACGTTTCCACAGGCTTATTCTTGAACTGAGCTGGAGGGTTTTTGGTTTCCTCCAGAGTATAAGGCCGACTGAAGAATTTGAGGGTCAAAACAAGTCCATCAAATCTAGAGTACGTTCCACCCTGCTGATATGGGATACTTTTGCTTTTGACAGAGTAATGGATGTATCGGCACGTGTGCTGTTACGCTTGTCTCCACATGCTTCCTTGTATCCTTCGCACTTGCCCTATCTGTTCCTCAAGCAGATGCGAAATCTTCCCTGGAAACATAAGATGTTGAAGATGAGTACTCGAGAGCAATGCCAGGTAAGTAATCAGGTAAGGGGTTCCAGGCAGTCAGTTCCTGGCTGGAAGCTTGATTCCAAGTGCTGACTGATTGCTCTCTTTCTCCTTGTCTTGCAGGTAAAAACAAGGCCAAAAGAAAAAGACAGGGAAAAAGCATGATATGGGATACTCTTGCTTTTAACCCTGATGATATGAGATATTCTTGCTCTAGTATAGCTTGTTTGCAGAGGTATTATCGGGGGGAAAGAAAGCTGAATATTTCGAAAGGCTTCGTTGGGAGTGCCCTCTCAGATATGATGAAGGGTTGAGCATTTTTGCAAGGTCTCTGCCTGTCCGTTGGGGATGGAGGTCGACATATATAGGAGTCTCCCTAACAACAAGTAGTAATGCTATTCCTTTACCCTGCTTGGTCATAGCACAGGTAGTGGGAGCTGCCAGTTTCACATGTTTTAACTCTGTCAGAGCACTTTGAAAAAGTGGTCTGTGGTATCTGGCTCTCGAGATTCGGAGAACGATGCCTCTTCGATTTTTGAGAAAGCAATCATGCTGGGGGTCTGACTCTCGAGATTCGGAGAGCAGTGTCTCTTCGATTTTTGAGGAAGTAATCATGTTGGGAGTCTGGCTCTCGAGATTCGGAGGGCGGTGCCTCTTCGATTTTGGAGCAAGCAATCTTGTTGGGAGTGTTGTCTCGAATGTGAGTAAAGGTTGGGCATGTTTGCTAGTCTACCTTGCCACGAAGCACAAAGGTTGACACACAGGGACTTTCCAATTATCCAGCAATGGTACTGTTCCTTTACCCTCTCTTCGATTTTGAGAAAGTAGTCATGTTGGGAGTCTGGCTCTCGAGATTCGGAGGACGGTGCCTCTTCGATTTTGGAGCAAGCAATCTTGTTGGGAGTGTTTTCTCGAATGTGAGTAAAGGTTGGGCATGTTTGCTAGTCTACCTTGCCACGAAGCACAGAGGTTGACACACACAGGGACTTTCCAATTATCCAGCAGTGGTACTGTTCCTTTACCCTTGTGGGTAATAATATGGTAGCTAGACCTTCAAAATTTATGTGTCTAAACTTTGTTAGTGCTGTTTCTTTGCTATTCTTTTACCTTTCTTGGTCAGAGCGATGTAGTGGGAGCTGCAAGCTTCACGTGCTCAACTTTGGCAGAGAACTTTGGCAAAGTTATCTGTGGTACCCATGAGTTATTGTTGCGTGTGGGAAGTGGGTGATTGAACAGTAAGATTCATGTGCTTTCTACTTCACCAGAAGTCTTCGACAGAATGCCCATAATTTCTGCAAAGCTGAGTGTGCGTGTGACAGGTGCTGACAAGGCTAGAAAAGTAGGTGCCTCTTCGATTTCTGAGATCGGCCCTCGTGGTCTCTGAGCAGCCCAGCTTTTGAGAAAGCGAGCGCCCTCTTCGATTGATTCGGAGAACGATGCCTCATCGATTTTTTGAGAAAGCAATCATGCTGGGGGTCTGGCTCTCGAGATTCGGGGAGCAGTGTCTCTTCGATTTTTGAGAAAGTAATCATGTTGGGAGTCTGGCTCTCGAGATTCGGAGGGCGGTGCCTCTTCGATTTTGGAGCAAGCAATCTTGTTGGGAGTGTTTTCTCGAATGTGAGTAAAGGTTGGGCATGTTTGCTAGTCTACCTTGCCACGAAGCACAGAGGTTGACACACAGGGACTTTCCAATTATCCAGCAATGGTACTGTTCCTTTACCCTCTCTTCGATTTTTAAGAAAGTAGTCATGTTGGGAGTCTGGCTCTTTAGATTCGGAGGACGGTGCCTCTTCGATTTTGGAGCAAGCAATCTTATTGGGAGTGTTTTCTCGAATGTGAGTAAAGGTTGGGCATGTTTGCTAGTCTACCTTGCCACGAAGCACAGAGGTTGACACACAGGGACTTTCCAATTATCCAGCAGTGGTACTGTTCCTTTACCCTTGTGGGTAATAATATGGTAGCTAGACCTTCAAAATTTATGGGTCTAAACTTTGTTAGTGCTGTTTCTTTGCTATTCTTTTACCCTTCTTGGTCAGAGCGATGTAGTGGGAGCTGCAAGCTTCACGTGCTCAACTTTGGCAGAGAACTTTGGCAAAGTTATCTGTGGTACCCATGAGCTATTGTTGCGTGTGGGAAAGTGGGTGATTGAACAGTAAGATTCATGTGTTTTCTACTTCCCCAGAAGTCTTTGACAGAATGCCCATAATTTCCGCAAAGCTGAGTGTGCGTGTGACAGGTGCTGACAAGGCTGGAAAAGTAGGTGCCTCTTCGATTTCTGAGATCGGCCCTCGTGGTCTCTGGGGAGCCCAGCTTTTGAGAAAGCGAGCGCCTCTTCGATTTCTGAGATCGGCCTTCGTGGTCTTTGAGCAGCCCAACTTTTGAGAAAGCAAAACACCTCTTCGATTTCTGAGATCAACCCTCGTGATCTCTAAGCAGCCCAACTTTTGAGAAAGCAAACGCCTCTTCGATTTCTGAGCAGGCGCCTCTTCGATTTCTGAAAGCTCCGTCGAGTGCAGATTTTTATAGGGGCTGGCATTAAGTTCCAAAGCACACTTGAATCTCCACCAGTAGAAGCTTCATTCTTGCACTTCTAAGATCTTGATTTGTCCGACCTCTTCTCTCTTCAACACCTTTGAAAATGTCTGGCCCCTCCGACCGTCGTTTTGACTTGAACCTTGTTGAAGAGGCAGCCCCGCCTTCTCCAGACAACATATGGCGCCCATCCTTCGTCTCCCCTACTGGTCCTCTTACCGTTGGGGATTCCGTGATGAAGAATGATATGACCGCTGCGGTGGTGGCCAGGAACCTTCTCACTCCCAAAGATAACAGACTACTTTCCAAACGGTCTGATGAGTTAGCTGTTAAGGATTCGCTGGCTCTCAGTGTTCAGTGTGCAGGTTCTGTGTCTAATATGGCCCAACGCCTATTTGCTCGAACCCGCCAAGTTGAATCATTGGCGGCTGAAGTGATGAGTCTCAAACAGGAGATTAGAGGGCTCAAGCATGAGAATAAACAGTTGCACCGGCTCGCACATGACTATGCTACAAACATGAAGAGGAAGCTTGACCAGATGAAGGAAACTGATGGTCAGGTTTTACTTGATCATCAGAGATTTGTGGGTTTGTTCCAAAGGCATTTATTGCCTTCGTCTTCTGGGGCTGTACCGCGTAATGAAGCTCCAAATGATCAACCTCTGATGCCTCCTCCTTCTAGGGTTCTGTCCAGTACTGAGGCTCCAAATGATCCCCCTCCGGTGCCTTCTCTTTCTGGGGCTCTACCGACTGCTGAGACTTCTCCTAAGCAACCTTTGTGAAGGCTCCCTCTTGTGTGTTTATTTTGACTCATGTATATGTACATATTTGTAGCTTATCGGGGATATCAATAAATAAGCTTTCCTTCATTTCAACGTATTGTGTTAAATACACCAAAGCCTTCTTCGCTAAGTTCTTTGAATTTTCTTTTGTTGAAGCTTGTATGTTGAAGCTTGTATGTTGAAGCTTTCTGAGTGGAGCATGTAGGTTGGGGTAGTGTTCCCTTAATTTCCCGAGTGAGGAAAACTTCTCGGTTGGAGACTTGGAAAATCCAAGTCACTGAGTGGGATCGGCTATATGAATCTTAGAACGCCATTGTGCTCGATCCTGTGTCATGTCCTTCGTTAGATCCAAGTACTCTAAGTCTTTTCTTAGAGTCTCTTCCAAAGTTTTCCTAGGTCTTCCTCTACCCCTTCGGCCCTGAACCTCTGTCCCATAGTCGCATCTTCTAATCGGAGCGTCAGTAGGCCTTCTTTGCACATGTCCAAACCACCGTAACCGATTTTCTCTCATCTTTCCTTCAATTTCGGCTACTCCTACTTTACCCCGGATATCCTCATTCCTAATCTTATCCTTTCTCGTGTGCCCACACATCCAACGAAGCATCCTCATCTCCGCTACACCCATTTTGTGTACGTGTTGATGTTTCACCGCCCAACATTCTGTGCCATACAGCATCGCCGGCCTTATTGCCGTCCTATAAAATTTTCCCTTGAGCTTCAGTGGCATACGGCGGTCACACAACACGCCGGATGCACTCTTCCACTTCATCCATCCAGCTTGTATTCTATGGTTGAGATCTCCATCTAATTCTCCGTTCTTTTGCAAGATAGATCCTAGGTAACGAAAACGGTCGCTCTTTGGTATTTCTTGATCTCCGATCCTCACCCCTAACTCGTTTTGGCCTCCATTTGCACTGAACTTGCACTCCATATATTCTGTCTTTGATCGGCTTAGGCGAAGACCTTTAGATTCCAACACTTCTCTCCAAAGGTTAAGCTTTGCATTTACCCCTTCCTGAGTTTCATCTATCAACACTATATCGTCTGCGAAAAGCATACACCAAGGAATATCATCTTGAATATGTCCTGTTAACTCATCCATTACCAACGCAAAAAGGTAAGGACTTAAGGATGAGCCTTGATGTAATCCTACAGTTATGGGAAAGCTTTCGGTTTGTCCTTCATGAGTTCTTACGGCAGTCTTTGCTCCTTCATACATATCCTTTATAGCTTGGATATATGCTACTCGTACTCCTTTCTTCTCTAAAATCCTCCAAAGAATGTCTCTTGGGACCCTATCATACGCTTTTTCCAAATCTATAAAGACCATGTGTAAATCCTTTTTCCCATCTCTATATCTTTCCATCAATCTTCGTAAGAGATAGATTGCCTCCATGGTTGAGCGCCCTGGCATGAACCCGAATTGGTTGTCCGAAACCCGTGTCTCTTGCCTCAATCTATGCTCAATGACTCTCTCCCAGAGCTTCATTGTATGACTCATTAGCTTAATACCCCTATAGTACATGCAATTTTTTTGTACGTCACCCTTATTCTTGTAGATAGGCACCAAAGTGCTCGTTCGCCACTCATTTGGCATCTTCTTCGTTTTCAAAATCCTATTGAAAAGGTCAGTGAGCCATGTTATACCTGTCTCTCCCAAAAGTTTCCACACTTCGATTGGTATATCGTCTGGGCCTATTGCTTTTTTATGTTTCATCTTCTTCAAAGCTACAACCACTTCTTCCTTCCGGATTCGACGATAAAAAGAGTAGTTTCTACACTCTTCTGAGTTACTCAACTCCCCTAAAGAATCACTCATTTCATGTCCTTCATTGAAAAGATTATGAAAATAACCTCTCCATCTGTCTGTAACCGCGTTCTCTGTAGCAAGAACCTTTCCATCCTCATCCTTGATGCACCTCACTTGGTTTAGGTCCCTTGTCTTCTTTTCCCTTGCTCTAGATAGTTTATAGATATCCAACTCTCCTTCTTTGGTATCTAGTCGTTTATACATATCGTCGTAAGCCGCTAACTTAGCTTCTCTGACAGCTTTCTTCGCCTCTTGCTTCGCTTTTCTATACCTTTCACCATTTTCATCGGTCCTCTCCTTGTATAAGGCTTTACAACATTCCTTCTTAGCCTTCACCTTTGTTTGTACCTCCTCATTCCACCACCAAGATTCCTTTTGGTGTGGGGCAAAGCCCTTGGACTCTCCTAATACCTCTTTTGCTACTTTTCGGATACAACTAGCCATGGAATCCCACATTTGGCTAGCTTCCCCCTCTCTATCCCACACACATTGGGTGATTACCTTCTCTTTGAAAATGACTTGTTTTTCTTCTTTTAGATTCCACCATCTAGTCCTTGGGCACTTCCAAGTATTGTTCTTTTGTCTTACTCTTTTGATATGTACATCCATCACCAACAAGCGATGTTGATTAGCCACGCTCTCTCCTGGTATAACTTTGCAATCCTTACAAGTTATACGATCCCCTTTCCTCATTAGAAGAAAATCTATTTGTGTTTTTGACGACCCACTCTTGTAGGTGATCACATGTTCTTCTCTCTTCTTAAAGAAGGTGTTGGCTAAGAAGAGATCATATGCCATTGCAAAATCCAAGATAGCTTCCCCATCCTCGTTTCTCTCCCCAAAACCATGGCCACCATGAAAACCTCCATAGTTGCCTGTCTCCCTGCCCACGTGTCCATTTAAATCTCCTCCTATAAATAACTTCTCCGTCTGAGCAATTCCTTGCACCAAGTCTCCAAGATCTTCCCAAAATTTCTCCTTCGAACTCGTATCCAACCCTACTTGAGGTGCGTACGCACTAATCACATTGATAAGTTCTTGTCCTATTACAATCTTGATTGCCATGATTCTATCTCCTACCCTCTTGACATCTACAACATCTTGTACCAAGGTCTTGTCCACGATGATGCCAACACCGTTTCTCGTTCTATTTGTGCCCGAATACCAAAGTTTAAACCCTGAGTTTTCTAGATCCTTTGCCTTACTACCAACCCACTTAGTTTCTTGTAGGCACATAATATTTATCCTTCTCCTCACCATAACTTCCACTACTTCCATAGATTTTTCCCGTTAAGGTTCCTATATTCCACGTTCCTAAACGCATTTTGCTCTCTTGAACTCTACCCTTCTGTCCTAGCTTCTTCACCTTCCCCTGTCTAATAGGATCAAAGTACTTCTTTTGTGTGTCCCGGGTAAAGTTGATAGGAGCATATGCTCCCAAACAACTTTGAGTGGAGTCGTTCGAAAAGAAGTTTCTATGGCCCCCTTGCTCATTTAACACTGCATCCGGGTGCCGATGGAGATACAGCGACCCTTGCTCACTTATCACTGTGCTCGGGACCACACAGCGCGGTGACGCGCCCTAGCTTTAGCGCGATTTTGTTCTGGATTCATTTTCATAAGGATTCGACGTGATCATGGAGTGCCGGCTGTCGACTACCTGACGCCCTCCCCCTCCTCCTTTATCCGGGCTTGGGACCGGCCATGTAAGACATAGGCGGAGTTCCCAGATAAGACACAATACAAAAGTAAAATTACTTTACAAAATCAACAGATTTATTGGACAATTTGGAGCATTCTAACCGAAAAAATTACAACATTACCACACCAGTTTCATGGTTGACACAAGCCATTTTGATTCGTGTATGAAATCGTACAATTGGTGGCTTCTCAGGATAATCTTTGTCGCAGAAAAGCTTAAGTTGGTATATGCGTCCTTCATGAACAGTCTGAGGTAAAAAATGATCAGAAATAATTTTTTGTTTGACCTTTAGCATATGAACCAGTAAAATACAAAACATGATTACAAATATCAACTTCTCATGACAATAAAAAGGTCGTACCCAGTGCACAAGGCTCCCGCTTTACGCAGGGTCTGGGAGAGGTGAATGTCGACAATACAGAATTAAAATAAGTAAACATTAACATCAGCAAGAAAAATCAACAGTCTAAAGTAAAAACTGCTCACTTCTAACAAGCAGTGACAAACTCCACTACTAAATTAATTGGGTTGAACAAAGCAACTACCTTACCGCAAAGCAACTTACCACTTGTGGCTGAGAAGATGAAATAACTAATATTCAACAATAAATTGATGAAATATTTGCCCAAGAGGAACTCAAGTGCGAGTTTAAAATCCATGATTTTTCTCATTATAACTCTGTGCACCTCACTTGGTTAAAGGGCATGACACCAGAAAACTAAAAAGGCAAAAACTCCATTTTTGTCGGAAGACACCCATCTTTGGGACATTGAACCATCTTGTAAACATTTTAGTAAGGATTTTAGCTCGGGATTGGTCTTATAAGCTGCTTCAATGTCGGTCAAAGCTTTGAGCATGGGACTAGACAAACCCATTATCGTAAAAAGTACATGCTGGTGGAACAAAGCATTGGGCACTTTTTCTGTAATCTACTCTGTTCAACAATGTGCATATATCCAAAAAGTTTGAACAACAATTTATGCCCATCAGAAGTTAAAATGCGCTGATCCAAGAAATGAATAATTTCGTGGTTTGCCAGAATATCAATGGGTTGGTACAGAAGAGGACTCCATTGTTTGCACCACAAACACTACTGGATGGTTAGCCAAACAAGAAAATAGAAAGCCAACTGGAAGGCCCCCCTTCTCAAAGCACTGCACCTATAGCATCACCAAAAGTGTCAATCCACCATTGAAGGATAGGAGAAATCTGGTAAAGCAATAACTAACTTTCCAAGAGCATCCTTTTAACAATAGCATGCCCGAATTCTTTCCAAAAGATTTTCAACTGTGGAGCTACTTAAGAAGGGGCTCCTATTGATAAGTGTAGCTACCTAAGGGGACGGTTACTGTTGAGGAGTGGCACTACCTGAGAAGAGGGCTACATTGATAAGTGAAATTACCTAAGAAAGAAAAAGGCCACCATTTCAAGACTGAAGTTGCCAAAGATATGATGCTAGCATAAATGAATGACACTACATAATAGCAAGGTTTTAAAAGACGATAGGCGCTAGTTGGGCGGCGGGCTAGGGCCTAGCCCCTAAGCGGCTAGGCAGGATTTAAGTAAATTTATTATACATCTGTCTGAACCTAAATTTACACCATCAGTCCGTGCAATCAAGGCTGTTAAGTGAGCATAGCTAACTGTTGGATGAAAAAGTGAAGATATTTTTGTTATTGTTAAAGGATAATATTATGGTTTTTATCATAATGAATTATGATGATTATCAATCTTCTTAAACCAGATAAATAGGATGTTGGATGCGAATATTATCCCAAGCAGTACAGTTCAAATTGATTTGGGATATCTGACGGCACTTGGAAGCTAAAAATGAATTTGAAATTCAGTTGATCAGGATGCATGCATGGGATAAAGGTGAAATTGTGAGATGGTGATGTGATATGATTAGGATGGTTATATCTAGATAAAAAAGGAGTAGGCCTCAGCCTATGGATATGATGGAAAAGCTAATTATCAGAATTATCAGGCGTAAGTGACCAATTTCTTGACCATTGGATCATGATGTGATGATAAAGATTATCCATTCAAAGTAAATCATTTAAATTTAAAGATTTATGGCGTTGGAAGGAGAAGATTGCTTCAGTTTGGTAGTCATGATACATTAGAGAAGATTTGCAGCCGTGACACATCATCAGACTTAGAGATTTACGGCTTGGCCATCAACGAGAGCAGCATTATAAATATAGGGGCATTGTGCATCATTCAGGCCCCTCCAAAACACACAAAAACTGCCTCTCTTCTCAACAACTTGAGAATTTTATTTTCTTTTTCCGCCAACACATCTTCAATTTGAATAAATAGCACTATGAAGGCAACCAGTGACATTTTCAATTTGGATAAACAGCACTGTTGCCGTAGAATCAGCCGACCGCGAAGCATTTTCAGTTTGGATAAACAACACTGTGTTGAGGCCGACTGGTTATCTATCCAAGTCTCTGTCAAGAAGGATTTTCGAATCCTTATTGGCAGAGGTCAAGGCAAAGTTTTGTTACAGGTTACTACATTCGGCACATTGAAAGCCGAATTTGATATTGAACTTCACAGAACTAGCAGCCTTGTCTTCAAGCTCTAAAACCCGAAGGCCGAGATTTGTTCCTTCCTTGGCCGCAATTGCAGGATCAAGAAGTAAGCAGCGCACCCAACGCAACATCAACATATTTTACTCCTCAGTCGAGCTCGGCCGACGAGTTGGCAGACCCGCATACAATCGAAGGACGTAGTTAGCTCATTAGTTACTCGGCCTACGCGCCACGTAGGCTTGGTAGTTTTTAGGGTCAACAATATCATATAAATAAGTGTTTGCTTATACTTAAAAATATATATAATTTCATCATAAACTGCAATATAGAATGACAAACATTATAAAGTATTGAAACATAATGAAAGCATAGGGAACAAGCATATAATGTATGTTCCTCTAAGTATTGAACAAGTCTTTTACAATTTATGGAAAAAAATAACATGCAAAATGAAAGTTATTTATGTTCTATTGTGAATTGCAACCTAGGCAGGTGACTAGGCGGGGCTGGGCAGGTGACTAGACGAGCCTGGGCAGGTGTCTAAGCAGGTCTAGGCACCCTTTCTTAATTTTCAAACACCTAGGGATAAATCTGGGCAAGGCCTAGGCGGTGCTAGGCGGGGGATTTTAGAACAGTGCATAACAGACCTATACCATTGATGAGTGGAGATATCTAAGGAGAGGAGTCGAACTAATAACTGGAGATAACGAACTAGATATCTCCACTCATCTAAGGAGAGCAGTCCCATCTCCACTCCACTTATTTTCACCTCCAATTGTTCTTACACTGAAAATGAATAGATCATAATGTTCTCATAATCCAATATATCTAATTGCACTCACAAAGTAAAAAAGAAAAAAACAATAAGAAATGTTTTGTCAACTAATAAGCTTGTGTAAGCATCATATCGTATATATACTTCTAAATACTACTCAATAATGGTAGATTACTTAGATGTCCCTTCATGAATATGCAAATGTTAAAGAATTGCTTGAGAAGGCCCACGTGCCATTTTCATCCAATAGACTCATCTGCTAAACAACCTACAAAGTGCGTAGATCTAGACTGTAATAATCCAACATATCTAAAATGCACTCGCCAAGTAAAAAAAAAAGGAAAAACAATACGAAATGTTTTTGTCAATAGAATAAACTTTAATTAATCATCGCACATATTTTCTAAAGGTGGTGACTAAATAATCGTAGCTTAATTAGATGTCTCTTCATGAATTAATCACTTCAGAAGGCTCATTTATTATTTTCATACGCAAGACTCATCTACTTGAACAACCTTTCAAGTGCGTAGATCTAGATCGTAAATAACGCAACATATCTAATACATCCGCATAGTAAAAAAGCAAAAGCAATAACATATTTTTATGTCAACAGAATAAACTTGTCTTAATCATCTTACATGTTTTCTAAATGTGACTCAAGAATGGTAGGTTCATAAATGCCTCTTCATGAACAACTGTTAAAGAACTGCTTGAGAAGGCCCATTTGCAAATTTCATGCGGGAGACTCAACTTCTAAAATAACCTCTAGAGTGCACAGATCTAGATTGTAAACAAATTTTGTCTACAATGTCGGATTTGCCTTTCTTACGTTGCACTCATTCAATTACAAACCAAGTGAATGTGAAATTATGGATATGAGATGATCTAGAAATAGCATATCAAAAATTCATCCTAACACACATGATGTAACACATCAAATTCACAAATATTTTACCATTAAATCAAACAGTTTACATAAGAACGATTCAGAGGAGAAGAAACAGGGAGGCAGGGAGGCAGGGGGATTATTGAGGCACTTGCTTACATTGAGTGGACCAATTATGGTACCCGTCCAAGAGCGCATGTAAATGTCATCTCCATCATCCATTCCATAGCTTACAGTTCCATCTCCTATACCCTTCTCTCCACGCTCGAGCTCTTCCAGCAACCTAAAATTTCGCGGCACTACACAACATCAAAAGATATGATTAAGCATCCCATCCTTGCAATATACAAACAACACATTGGATCAAATAAAGTCACTTCAAGGAGGCATTGACAGATTTCAGATTTAGTAGGCTTTACTACTTGTATGGGTGTCCAAATGTCAACAGCAGTCTAACGGAAATTAGCGTTCTGGTGTTATACATCAAATGAATTGTACCAAACACATATATCTTGTTTGACTCTAATAAAAAGCTAGAATAAGAAACCAACTTAAGGATGTAATCTTGGATCATTCTATTAAGGACAAGGAATAGAACACTTTCTCACCGTGTAAAGATATATCCGAAAACGGTACCTCCTTAAGTTGCCTTTTTATTTAGCCCTTACAATGTACACACATAATTCTATAAATACACAAAAAAAATATTCTCAACTAAAGTATTCAAATGAGGTTATTGATGAGACTTGTCTTTAACTATTAGATCGACCAAAATGGATTGAAACCCATCTTACCCATGATGCATCTTAGCCTTTCATATCAGATTTACACCGTTACGAAAGAATTTCCATTTTTAAGGAAGTCATTACAGACCACATAAGCATAATAACTAATCTTCATCATTTAGATAACATTTGATGCCGGAGTGTTTCAATCTTCAATCTTCAATTCAGCAATCGAAGAGCAACTATCTGTTCTATCTACTTATGTCAACTACTTACCATAGATCCTTACAACCCAACAAGTCAACAGAAATAAATCTATTAATCCCTTTATGAAAAACCCATTTACATCAAACATCTAATTCAGAACAGATTAACCAAACAAGCAAACCAATCTGAGTGATCAAATTGCAAATAACAAATTCAATTGCAATAAAAAGCAATCACAACAAATTTCAATAAAATTTAAAGGAAAAGCAAAATTTAAAGACGAAAGCAAAATTTAAAGACGAACACAACAAATTAAAGAGAGGGACCATTGATATACCAACGATGCTGGATCCGGCAGAACCAATCGTCATGGAAGAGGAGAAGGAATTGAGAGATGGGTAGGGGTTTTGGGAGGGTAGGGAATATTTGTTGAGAAAAAGCAGAGAGAATGATGGACGAGAACGCGGGTGTAAAGGGGGACGACGACTAACGACTCGGGACTGGCAGCAAAAGTGTAGTTAAACTTAAAGCCCTACTTATTTTCTTAGTCATAGTTTAATTCAATTTTTAATCTCAAAAACATTTTTCAAGTCACGTATTTGAAATTTGTTTGGTAAGATTATTTTGAAAAACTGAACTTAAAAATAATTTAAGAAATAACGTATTTTTTAAAAACACATGTTGAGGCTCAAAAATGTCACATACAAGCCTAATCAAGTCTTAAAGCCCGATTATCATAAAAGCCCCAAGTTGAGCTTAAGCACATGCGAAGGTGCAAAATCGAGAAAGGAAAACGCTCACGATCATACCTCGCCATTAAAATAATGATAAACAAATTAGATGTTTGCATAATCACACCATGCCCATACATATTCATCACGCCAAGCTCTACCACACTAACTACTATTCATGCTAAAATAAGTCTAAGCCACGTACCAGGGCTTGGCAAGTGAATCGTGGTGTTGATGGTAATGGAAGTTTATTTGGCCTAGGCAGAGTCAAGATTATGGAAGACTTTGGACTACTTAAGAACCCAAAGATCCAAGTCCACAATTTTTAAAGTCCACACAAGTAAGTTTAAGAGAGCACAAACTCAGTTTTCCCTTTTTTCCTAGTAAGTCAACTTAGCCAGTTAGAAAGGAACAAGACTCAAGGTTTCAAGTTCACGTAAAAGCCCAAAAGAGCCTGCATTTAATGAAGCGAGAGGCATGCTTTTCATTCCTAACTCACATAGAAAAACGATGAAAGAAGGCCAGGAGACGCGTTATTGGAATTAACGTCTGTGGAAGCTAACATGGGGAATGAAGGCTCTAGGAAGGGTGCGTGATGCAGTCTTCAGTAGGGTAACGGCGTTTATCTATCCTAAATAAAAAAGGAAGGTCATAGTTGTGCTAGGAGAAAGGGGAAAGAAGACTTAGTTATAATTAGAGATTCCTTAGGAGGCCTGAAAGGAGAATCATTCACTTACAAAAGAGAGGTCAGAAGTCTTGAATAGAAGAGGTTCAACCCAATACAAAGAGAACAAGACAGAACGTGAGGGAGAAAGTTTTTGAAGGTGTACTGCACCAAGCAACGGAAATCACTTTTTAAGTGCAAACAATCTTGAATCTTTAAGAAGGTCACCTTCCTGCAACCTTAGTGGTTTCTTTAAACTTCCTTCAATCCTTTCAATCAATAGGAGCCTTCTTATAACCTTAGGAAGCCCAGATCACCCAACTCAAAAACATCATGCAACCATACAAAGTTCTCTTTCAATTTAAACAGGTAAACTTCTAGCTTCCACACTACGTCTCACTTAAGCAAGCCATTATTTGCTTAACCATGCTATCTTTGAGTCATTGATCAAACTGGGATATTTCCTAAGATGTACTAAGTCTTTCGAGATATTCTAAGACTTAGTATGAAAGGGAACCATGGAAGCAAAAGGGTACTCGCAAAGCCTATGTCCAATTGGCTACTCTATTAGTGACCAAGTCACAATCTTAATCAATGGCTCTAAGATCTAGAAGAAACACTACCAGGAGTGGTAATGACTCAGAGGCAAGCAAAGACGCTTCCCGATTGGATGAATCTCAACGCGAAGAACAACACCATGAGAGCCAAGAATATTTGGGAGAGTACGCCATGTCACATGTCCTCACAGCCATTCATGCTTTAGGTGAAGCAAAAAAGAAATCGTGGTTGTGAAGGAGTTGAAAAACTCGATACCAAAACTGAGCGAGATGGCAAGTAACAAGAATTGCACACACATGGAAAAGACTTCTCAAGATGAGTCAGCTGCTGCTACTGGCAAATGTTCTAAGAAATGACCATCTTTTATCATTCAGGAAGACGTTATAGCCATAATAAAGAAGGAGTTGCACAAGAGCTCGGAAGACTAGAAGTATGTTCTTAAGTCGCCATACCCAGTCAACCTTTTCCACATGCCATATCCCAAAAACTATGAAACTCCTAACTTTATCCTCTTTGATGGAAGGAAGGGTAGCCCTAAGGAACATATAAGTCATTTCATTGACACTTTGGGTCCTCATGTCGACAACTATAACCTTCTTCTCAAGGAATTCTAAAAAAATCTAATTGACCATGCCTATGATTGGTATTACCCTCGAGCCTAGTTCCATCTGAACTGGGAAGAATTAGCAAGTGTTGGAACCAAATTCGCGTATCGTCGTGAGTGCTGAAGATGCACAATCCGAGCAACCTGTAAAAGAGAAAACAACCATGAGCAAGCCTTAGACCGAGGGGTGTGCCGGTCAAAAGCTTTCTAACAGTCAAGTTAGTAAGCAAGTATATGACTAAAACAGTGGGTAAGAGAATCAGAGTGCATAGATTACGTTACCAGAGACAAACCTTAGATAGGTGCATTTATACCAATTAGAAGAAAGACATTTTTTTAGGATAAAATCCTTGTTCTAATCCTAGAAAATCCTAAAGGATATCTAGAAGTAGATATTGGACCCTCTAATGAGTTATGATTGCTTGCGCTAGTAGGAACTCCAAGAGTTATCAAGATCTGGTTGATTCCATACTAGATCAGGTCTCGTGTCATGCAGAACAAGCATGGTCATTCCAGCGAAGTCGCTTGGACTTTGTCTATTGCCCAAGGACAACGTGATGCTGGCAATATTGCTCCATTTGATCCAGCACTGCTCGGAGTTGTTGAGTCCATGATCGGACTTCTGAGGTAGCGATATTCGGATCAACCTTACTTCGGCCCAAGAAAATCATGGTCCCACATTGCCCCTAACTATATATCTGAAAGAAACTTGTTCCCTTGAGGATGGACAGTTATCCAAAGACCATGCCTTTTGGAGTAAGCTGGAGTACATACCGTTTAGCCTTTTGTCTTCACATGGTGATTTGGTTCTTTGTGGAGTAGTGGAGATACGACGAATTCAGACATGTGGCCTCGAACATCGTGCTACAAAGATCATAATGATTATGAGTATTGCATGGCACATTTTGAAAGAAACGGTCATTCATTTCTCCGACTAGCCTTGATCTCTATATCTGTTAATCTCGAGGCAAAGCCAACTTGTATCCAATTGTAAGATTGCTTGCTACCTTGTCTTTAAATAGCCCCTTCATGGTTGAGACTCTTCATATTTTCCTTATTTCTTCCATTCAGTTTGTATCATGGAGCCTTGTCGTTTGCTTCATGATCTTCTTTTCAAACTAGTCCTATTTTTGAACCTTCGATGTCTAAAATCCTTAACCCAGGAACTTACTTTCACCTATTAATCATTGCCAAGCAAGGTTAAGTAAGCCAAAATTAAGCTACAATCTCATAATAGTCTCTCATGCTTCTTGCAGCTTGTTCCATAACATTGATCCTATGCGACATCCTTCTCGCCATTATCGTGGACAAGTTTAATCTTAACAAAGTATTGAGATTTTTCAGAGGGTTCTTCATTGGTGCTCTCTTCGCCTCATTTAGGAGTAGACGCCAATGACGATTGATCCTCATCATAGTTGATGATCCTGGCCAAGTCTACTTCGTGGTCTTCTTAGGAGAATTTGCATGCTAGGGGTAATGTTTGTCTCCCCTAAGCAGTTGTACCTTTTTCATGCCCCTTTCATGGGACTTTGACAATAAACATGTGTTTGCATGAATCTTTTTCTTTTTCCCATCCCTTACTTCCTTTATTCAAGAAATAAAATTTAATCCGATAAATATTTCCAAAGTAAACGAACTTGTAGAGAAAATGAGTAACAAAGCGAAACACAAGTAAGGTTAATCACCCATGAAAGGGCCTTCAATCCTCTGCATCCTTGGTCATTGGCTCCATGGATAAGGATGAAACAACTTTGCTTCTCGGCTCCTTGTCTTCTTGGATTTGGATGGAAGAATAGAGTCTTCAAAAAGCACCAAAGTTGGAGGCCTCCAAGTTTTGACACCAAGGATGATGGAAGGAAGAAGATGAGAGATATGAGAGGAAGGAAATGCTAGCTTCCTTCTCCCATATGGCCAACCTCTGTAGAGAGAAAAAGAAGGCTTGTGTTTCCTCATCTTTCCTCAAAGAAACCCTAAAGAGGTTAAAGCTATAAAGCTATTTTTAAGCCTCTTTTTAAGTGAGTGGCAAACTTGTAATTACCCCACCATCACACTCCTCTAGCATGGATGGTTTTGAGATTATTTTGGGGTTAATTCTCCTTTAATATTAGTTGTCATACAACTTAAAATAAATGGGCCTTGTGGACCAAAACCATGGCCCCAAAACCTGAAACTAACTTAAAGCCCAATACGAACCTTTCATATTATTAATTAACATATTAATTAATCCTTGCCATATTAAACTATTTAATTGTCCTTATTCATCTTCATTATTTCAGTCATTACCTTACACGGTGTATGATCCATTAGTTTCCTTTTTGCGAGGTAGTGGGAGATTAGAACTATTACTAATCGATTGTGAATTGAAACTTACTTTCAATTCTCCATTCAGTGATTAATCATCTTCAAGACTTCCACAAGCCATGATTGACACCTAGCAATTTGTCATGGCTACCCAAGCTAATCATAAAAGATTGGAGAACCTATTCAGTTTGAGATTACAATGCAACACAACCCTTCTCTAAATCTAGTACTCTTGATCACATTGTTGAGTGATAGTTCATTCATATATACTATCCAATGTGATTATCTTGTTTATATGATTACCTTGAATGTGATTGGAACAACTTCCTAAATCTCATTCACACTCTAGCCAAAGATTCTTAATCATATCATAAAGTATTCTCCCTTAACAATTTGGAGGTTAGAGATCCCTTATTGTACATTCATATGCCTACATGATTAAGGCCCCGTTTGGTGTTGCTTTTTTTCATTAAAAACTGCTTAACTTTAAAGTTAAGCAATGAAAAAGCATTTGGTAAAAATAAAATATCCTGCTTATTTTAAAAGTTATGGGCTCCAGACAATAGCTTTTAAAAGCAACATGTAGGTTACTTTTAAAAGCTACTTTAATAAAAAGCAGAGTTCGGTCTTTGATAAATATTTTCAATTGTTGTAATACCT